AGAACTTCTAAGAGTTTGAACTTATACTTATAAAATTCTGTACTGCTCCCCCCTTTCCCTTCATTTTGGGTCTTCCTCAGAATTCAAGTTGGCCGCTACCTATAAATATCTACCTATACTGGTAACATTCCCAAGTTATGTGACTTTTGTCTCTATGTCAGAGATAAAACATATAGATCATATCTGGGAACGAGTACATATACAAAACAAAATATCTATGAATATGATATACAAATGTATCCCCCAAAAGAGGCAGTCTGTGAAACAGCTGTATTTACAAAGTGCAACCTACAAAATGAAATTCCATAGTATCAATATCATTTATTCTCTAAACTACTATCCAGTATCGCTGTATCAGACTTTTGTCCCCCTCCCCAGAAATGTACATATACATAGGGAATTAATCAGAACTCTTGTGTTTTAAACCTGGAAATTATGGGTCACAAAATATTTCTGTTCTGGAAAATCTTAATGACTACCAGTAAAAATTATATGGAAATTATTCATCCCTTTGGAAAATACATGGAATTTCATGTGCACTAGCAGACAAAAAGTTTGGAATTTTTTGGTCCAGACAGAAAATTTGTTTGGAATTTTAGAAAAAATCAAGAAAAAAAAATCTGGAATTCCAATGTCTTCCATAGGGGGGGGACAGACTATTTCTGGAATAGCCCAATGGGGTACCCAACATGACGTAAAATATTTGTTAAAATAACGTTAAGGATAAACATTGGACGCTTATGGTACCTACAAAATGAGATTTGACGAATGAGGATAAAAAATTGAGGCTCATTTAACGGAAACGAAAAACAGACATTTTATGGGTTGCACTAATGTCTAGTAATGACAGGATGATTGCCCATATAGTGACAGGACGATTGAGATATAAATAGTCAGAACTTTTTGTTATTCGGTAGATTTTTTTAATATTTGTAGACCTTAGAGATATTAAACTATATTTTATGAAAATCAAACAAAAAAAGTGAAAAAAAATATTTTTGAGCAAATAAAGTTGACCAGTCAGGGGACTTACTTAAATGAGTGATTTTCTAAATCACTGATTCAAGTAACATTATGTCCATAAAGATTGGAAGTAAGAGTTGTCTTTCTTTAATAATCACCTATTTAAGTAGTACAAATTAATCACTAGACTAAGTGATTTAATTTTATTGTAGCTTTAAATATAGAATACTAATGATCCAGGGACTAATTATGTTGCTAAAATTATCAGAACCAACGTCTGTGTTGATACATTTGTAGGATGACCGGATCATGTCAGGTGATGACCTTGTACTAAATCTAGGATAATGACATAAAAATCACTTCTTTAAGTATCATACCTCAATTTCCTTCCAAAAATTCACTTCTTTAAGTATCATTATTTTAATAACCCCAACTAATTTCAACACCCCCGAACAGTGAAATTTTGATCGCGAACAGTAGAATTTTATTACATAATCTATAAGATGAAACCTTGAATTTTACAGGAAAAATACTCCCACTGCTGGGAAAAATCTGTTAAGAAAGTATCAGTTCATTATGTAAAGCCATTTTTATAGCATTTTTTCAACTAAAATAGAATTTGCAGCTAAATGATTGCATCAAAGGCATAAACCTTGCTGCTGAAAAGAAGCAAAAAGTTCATTTTTTTCAATTTTACTAATGAAAAGATATTATCTAAACCTATGTGTTTAAAATTTTGGTAAAACTACAAAATCACAATTTGTGACAAAACTTTGAATTTGCTACTTAAATAAGTGATTTAAAAATCACTTATTTCAATAAGTCCCCTGACTGTTGACCATACGGATTTCACACTCGCCGGTATACGCTATACATATATTCAACTGGTCGACAACAAGTGTTAATATCTATTTTTTTTAAATATTTTTTTCATGAAACTAAGAAATCTGAGAGATTGATTAATAAATGATATGAAAATATAAACTTTATAATAAAAAAAAAATGTTTTTCTGCAAAAAAAAAGTTGACCGGATGGATTTCACATTCGCCTATGTACACTGATTATATTGAACTGATCGACACAAGTATTAATATCTCTTTTCTTTTTTTACAATATTTTTAATAAATATATTATATGAAAATATAAACTTTATTGACACATTCCCCATTTCCATTCTCAATTTTATTATTTATAGTAAACCGTCTAAAAAGTAAAAAATATTTATATTACTATAGAACAAATGATAAAAATTGCGGCAACAAATTATTAGCCGACCCCTTCTGTCTGCCAGAATTATTCTGCCCCCTGCTCACCAACGGGGAGGTGGAAGTGGGAATTTAGAGCAGGATACATCTTTTATTTGATGTCTCAGGTGTGAAAACTTTAATGACATTGTTATTTATCTTGATTGGTGATTACGACAAGTGTCAAAATAAGATAGTAATCTAATTAAATATCAGAACTTCTAGTGTGGCAGGTGAACTCACTCAAGTCAGCATTTTGGGCTCAAAGTTTTTACTATAAAGTATATATTTTCGTATAATATATTTATTAATTTCACAGATTCCTTAATTTCATGGACATATATTGTAAAATAAAAAGAGATATTAACACTTGTGTCGATCAGTTCAATATATTTAAAGCATATATCGGGGAATGTTAATTCCGTCCGGTCACCTTTTTTTTTGAAGAAAAACATTTTTTTTTACTATAAAGTTTATATTTTCGTATAAAATATTTATAAATCTCCCAAGATTCCTTAATTTCATGGACAGATATGGTAAAATAAAAGAGATATTAACACTTGTGTCGATCAGTTCAATATATTTAAAGCATATATCTGCGAATGTGAATTCTGTCCGGTCATTTTTTTTTAAGAAAAACAATTTTTTTTACTATAAAGTTTATATTTTCGTATAAAATATTTATAAATCTCCAAGATTCCTTAATTTCATGGACAGATATAGTAAAATAAAAGAGATATTAGCACTTGTGTCGATCAGTTCAATATATTTAAAGGACAATGAAGGATATATCGGCGAATGTGAATTCTGTCCAGTCAATTTTTTTTGAAGAAAATTTTTTTTACTATAAAGTTTATATTTTCATATCATATATTTATTGATCTCGTAGATTTCTTTGTTTCATGTAAAAATATTGTAAAACAAAAAAAATATTAGCACTTTTTGTCGATCAGTTCAATATAATCAACGCGTACATCAGCAAATATGAATACCGTCCGGTCAACTTTTTTTGCAGAAAAACAATTTTTTTTTTTTATGAAGTTTATATTTTCGTATAAAATATTTATTATTCTCACAGATTCCTTAATTTCAAGGACAAATATTGTAAAACAAAAGAGATATTAACTCTTGTTGTCGACCAGTTGAATATATGTATATCGTATACCGGCTAGTGTGAAATCCGTCCGGTCAACTTTATTTGCTCAAAAATATTTTTTTTCACTTTTTTTGTTTGATTTTCATAGAATATAGTTTAATATCTCTAAGGTCTACAAATATTAAAAAAATCTACCGAATAACAAAAAAGTTATGACTATTTATATCTCATCCGGTCAATCGTCCTGTCACTATCCGGGCAATCATCCTGTCATTAGTGCAACCCACATTTTATGCTTGACGATCAGGGCTCATGCTACCAGGCGACTAGGGCGAAGAAGTTGCTTTCCCGTCCGTCACTTTGCTTTTCCAGACCCTCAAAAGCGAAAACAAGTCGCCCTGTTGTTTACGATACTCGCTTTCATTTTCAGTCGCTTTCGTCATCGGACATTTTCAATTTTTACCAAGTTGATAAAACATAAATTTTTTATTGATTATTAAAGAAATTCAGACATAAACGATTCATTTTCTTAAGAAAAGAGGTTTAAGCATTGAATTTACAGTGTGTAGCAGGTTATTTATTAAAAAGACAACTTATTATCACTGCATGCACTTCCGTTACTTGTTACTCAGAGAGCGTACATCAATCTAACTTTTGGCAGCAAAATAAGTTTGTTATTTCATTTGAAAGTGATAAAAGTTGCCTCCAGTAAATGTTTAATCCATTTATTGCATTAAAAACGTCATATTCCTTTCCAAATAGCTTGTCAAACATCGTTTATTTTTGTAAATTTTCTTCGTCTGCCATTAACCGTTTTCTAACTACGGATCGGAACCGGACCAGCTATGACGGAAATCCGTATTTTTACAATAAGAACTAAGGACGCATGAATGGAACAGCTGACAGAAGAATATTGATCCCAAAAGGAAAAATTACGCATTCCACACGCATTAACAGACTTTTGATTAGATCTAATTGATTAATGTACATAATTCCATATAATTTATTTGGATTGTTTCAAAATATTGATTAAAGTTGCTTAACTAGTAATATCAATATATTATGGCCCAGCTTAACTTTGTATATCTTTTGATGAGAAACACTGAATTTCATAAACATGATAAACAAAATAGTTTTTAATTGAATTGTAATTCATATACATGTATTATAATTTCTTTACCTTTTTGACATAAAAAAAAATTCTTTTTAGTGCTAGATATTTAGTTGGTAGTTTCTCACAAGAACCTAAACTTAAACAACTTTGAATTTGAACTGTTAATTTATTTGTATACTCAGATATGAATTGAACAATATGAAAAGAACATTATTTACATATGACCCTTTATACTATAGTAAAATCAAAACATTGTAGCGCAGCGCGCGAAGGAGCACTTCTCTTTCAAATCTCACCACTTCTCCCTATCAGTTTCAAAAAGAGAAGTCACTTCTCCCTATGATTCTGAAGTAGTGTGAGCCCTGAATGATAAAGGCATTCCTACCCTCTTATATGAGGCAGATGACACACTAGTCCAAATAATATACATCTTGAAATGTTATTGTAATTTTTTGGTGTGACGCCTTCCTACCACGTCATACATGTAATGCTGAAGTCATTTTTTTTAATTGGACTTTGAAAGATAATTAATTTTATGTCTATGTTTGTAGTCTAGTAATGAGTATATTTTCTGTTTTACAGAAAGCTAGCCATGTCACAGTTTGCAACTCCAAAGAATCCACCCTGGGCAAGACAGTCTGGTATGTTACAGGTTCAAATTTTATCATAAGAAATATAGAGTTATAGAGCAATAATTTACAGTATATTTAAAGTCACATCATTTAACACGTTCGAAGTCATATTCAAATTTATCAAAAAGGGCTGACTATGTTTAGAATAGTTTAATGACTAAATTTTACTATAAAACATGTGTTTACAGACTTTCTTAAAGCTTGTAAAAGAAAATCCTTTATTTTATCCAAATCTTTAAAAATGCATACTGCTATTCAGTTATTATCTTCCTCTTTAATACGCCAACAGCTTTTCTGTATGCAGTGACCTTAATCATGACATCTCTTGTTACAAATTTTTCAACCACACAGGATAAGTGTGAAGAGAAAAACCGTGATGAAAGAAAAGACAAATAAACATGGAAAGAAGATGGTATTAATCATGTCAAGAAAAATTTTGATACACCAAATCATTTAACAGCTGTTATGACAAAGTTTGATTGACTAATAGGAAGGCATGAACAATGTGAAAAAAACAAAATAAACATTGATCTATCATCTCACTAATTTTTCGTGTGCTCCATTATTCTGTGTTGATTGTTTGCCAAGGTCACGATCAGTAAACTTCAGCACATAACCTGAAGCTAATTAGCAGTCGAGTATTTGATCAACATCCAATAAATGAAATAGTTTTTGTCAATTATACATTACAGATTCGTTATAAATATACAAAACATGCACGGCAACTCTTTTCATATGACTTGAAGGTAATTCTGCTACAATTCACCTGGGCCATAAAAAAGAATAGGTTGGTTTGCCCTAACCAGACCGACCCATAAAAAAGCACCTGAGTCAAAAATCTTTTTTTATTCAAAATTTGCAATGTTGTTTTTTTTGCGGAGTTTTGTCTTATCCGTATCCGTCTTGAGTTTGTTGCTTAGAATAACCTGATCCGATCTGACCACGCTTTATCACAGGACAATTTGTGTTATGTATTAAAGCCTCCAATTGATACGGATGAAAAACAACATGTTACCGTCTAGTACAAATAAAGGTTGGATTAAAATCAAAACCGTAGTTTCCAACAAATTCTATCGTTTTGAAAACTTAAAAACATGGAAAGAGGTGTTTGATAAAGTGTGTGATGACGATTTCATACTATGAAAAACTGATGAAATTTGTGTGACTGTCTCTGACCGATCAGGACACACGTTTGACATTGTGAGCCCGATTTTGAGGAACCAATCCAAGTTGTTCAGGAATTTGATTCGGCATTAAAATTTGATTAAATTGATATTATTCTGACAGAAGTTCTGTCAACAGTATTTTGTTCAAGTGTTTTGTAGTTGAAATTTGAATTTTGTATTCAAATAAACTTCTTCTTCTTAGTATGAGCCTCCTTTAATTAGGAGAACCTCCAAATATATATGGAGTTTTTCCATAACTTTAAAAATTTTAAAGAATAAAACAAAAACGTTTTTTCCAACATATGTACAGCACATATAAATATAAAACAATAAAAGTATCATGCATGGCATATTTACAGGGTCCTTTTTATTAATTATTTAATTTCATTTTCATAGCTTCTAATATTTGTCCAGAGCTTCTTTACATTTCTTACAATTGTTATATGACAGACTCTGTGTCGGTATATATATGTCACTTATGATAATCACTATTTTCATTTGTTTGTCATTTCCTCCATTTTGGGATATATGTATATATATACGTATATGCACTATATGTCTTGCTACATGTATCTATTGTCTATAATTTTCAATCTTTCTATGTGCATTTTGAATAACATATTTCTGGTTTTGTTTTCAATTTTTTCCTGGAATTTTTCACAGTTATCAAACAGCTCCTTATATTTTGAACAGTCTATAAGCAATTGTACTATCGCAGTTTTGTTCGTGAAGGTGCAGTTCCATTTTGTTGGTGTGATTTTATCAGTGATCTCTTTTCTTATTTCAGGGAAATATTTTTCTCTCGCAGTACTGAGTATAATCTCATTTAAAATGTTTGTCTGTATTTACAATGTAAACATTCAGAAAAAAATGTGAACATTGAGGTGGAATGCTGAAAAAAAAACTGTTAATAGAAAAGATCTTTATAGTACATTTGTTCATACAGATCCTGGCATATATGTGTCTGACAATTTATACAAAACTCTATAGTAGTCTTTCATTTTAAAAGTTGTTGACAAGGTAAAATAATTTTCCCCCCTATTTTTCTCTAAAAGAGTAAAAAAAAAAGAATTTCCCTACCTACCTACCCACACCTGAGACTGGTGGGTAGGGTTTGGGCAAACAGAAATTTTTTTAAGTCTGGCCCTTTGGTTCTGAGTAAATCACAGTAAATCAGAGAAAGTACTGGTATTTTGAGTGATAAGAGTCTGATGTGTGTACCAGTAATTTGGTTTAAATATAGAGAATCAGTTTTTGAAATGTTTGTCAACAATGAAGATCTTTGATATGAAATGTAGTTTAAAATTCTTTAGTCTTTAACTGCTTTTGTTTGATTTCATTTTGAGTACTGTAAATTCAGAAATTATTGCATGCATTTTATAATACGATTTTGAATTTTGAATATATGGACAAAAATGTGAGACCGTTTTTAGAAGGCACATTTTCTTATACCAGATGTTGAATTGACAATGGTAAAACACTGACCAGAGACTGATACGTAAATTCAGTGTACATTTACAAAGCACGATTGAGTTTAAGTAGCTCTTTCCACATTATTTCTTCAAGAAAATACTTGAAATGAATGTTAGGTAAAGGTTTCAATGCGCACACATGTACTAGTTCAAACTAGTGGTTCTGACGATTTTTCGCTTAAACATGTTAAAACCTTTAAATCTACCTTACTAAGTTTTCATCAAATCATATATACGTATTTTGGATAATCTAAATCTTTTTTTGACTAAATTAATTAGATGCAAACGGCCAAAATTTGTGAAAATAACTTCAAATAGACCTATCAATGTCCGGTACATACCAGTTTACCTGTCACATGAACAGGTAAATTTCAGCTGTCTGACAACTTATTAACCTTAATTATACCCCACGCAACGAGTTGTGGAGGGTATAATGTTTTTGACCCGTCCGTCCGTTCGTCCGTCAGTCTGTCAGTCCGTCAGTCCGTCAGTCCTATTTCTTGTCATCACAACTCCTCTCAAACCACACAACAGAATTTCACGAAACCTTTTTAGATAATAAGGACATACTATGTAGTTGTGCATATCGACAGGAAATTACGATTCAATTCTTTTTCTAGGAGTTACACCCCTTTGAACTTATTTACTTTAATGTACTACTGCAACAGTTTATCATCGCAACTCCTCTCAAACCACACAACAGAATTTCATGAAACCTTTTCAGATAATAAGGACATACTACGTAGATGTGCATATCGACAGGAAATTACGATTCAATTTTTTTCCCAGGAGTTACGCCCCTTTGAACTTATTTGCCCAATATACTACTGCAACCTTTTGTCATCGCAACTCCTCTCAAACCACACAACAGAAATTCATGAAACCTTTTCAGATAATAAGGACATACTACGTAGATGTGCATATCGACAGGAAATTACGATTCAATTTTTTTTCCAGGAGTTACGCCCCTTTGAACTTATTTGCCCAATATACTACTGCAACCTTTTGTCATCGCAACTCCTCTCAAACCACACAACAGAATTTCATGAAACTGTGTAGATAATAAGGACATACTATGTAGATGTGCATATTGACAGGAAATTACGATTCAATTTTTATTTCTGATACAATTTTTTTTTCTTACACTTATTTTATTTCTCCAATGACAATGTGGGGACGTGGGGTATGTGAGCACGCTCACTAAGGTTCTTTAATTGTAATGAGAGGATATTAAAGTAGGATTTGTTTTGATAGTACTTATTCACCATGTCATTTTTATGACCGCAAATGTGGCTGTTTAAGCCAAAGGGTCAGGTCAAAAAGATCGCCAAAACTTTATTTTATTCTGAAATATGTTAAATTGGCAACCCACGTTAAATGTCCGTTTCAGGCTCAGCACAACAAGTCATAAATATAATTTATTGGTCAAGTCTGGAATATACGACCGTTTTGGAACCCCTAGTTGATATACATGTACATGTATGTATCAGATATCAGAATGCTAGTTGTCCCCCACGAAAAGCGTTGCAGGGGACATAGAGAAACCGGGTGTCCGTCCATCTGTCCGTTCAGTCTTGTTAGCACTCTCACATGTACAATTCTTGCCAGACTTGTATAAATCTTATATTACAGGTTAATATCAGCAATGTCTCAAACAAGTTCGGAAATCAGTGCAAATGAACTGTTTTTAAAAGAGTTATGCCCCTTGGAAATAATAATTAGTCCCCTACCGACGAAGTCGAAGGGGACTTTAGGTTTGCACTCCGTCTGTCCATCTGTCCTTATGTCCATCCGTCAGTCCAGCAAATCAGCTTTCCACACTTTTTATACGCCCATTTACGGGACGTATTATGGTATACCGCTGTCCGTCCGTCCGTCGTCAACATGTCGGAAACTTTGGTGAATTGTTTATATCTATTGACGTGAGCTCCCTTTCATTTTTTATAAATTTCAGATTTACCAGTTCCAAGTTTTGGGGTTTTCATTAAAAAAGGGGGATTTTCCAGTTTTCGAACAATAACTCAAAATTTTTTTTACCAATTTGCATGAAACTTTTGTGAATTGTTCATATCTATTGAGGTGAGCTCCCTTTAGTTTTTTATAAATTTCGGATTTACCGTTTCAGAGTTTTTGGGTTTTATTCATTAAAAAAGGGGGGATTTTCCAGTTTTCGGACAATAACTCAAAACAATTTCACCAATTTGCATGAAACTTTTGTGAATTGTTCATATATATTGATGTGAGCTCCCTTTTGTTTTTTATAAATTTTGGATTTACCGTTTCCAAGTTTTGGGGTTTTATTTATTAAAAAAGGGGTGATTTTCTAGTTTTCAGACAGTAAATCAAAAACAATTTCACCAATTTGCAAGAAACTTTGGTGAATTGTTTATTTCTATCCACATGAGCTCCCTTTTGATTTTTATAAATTTCAGACTATACGTTTCCGATTTATGGGGTTTTATTCATTACAAAAAGGGGGATTTTCCAGTTTTCAGACAATAACTCAATTTTTTTATGAAACTTTGGTAAATTGTTTGTATCTATTTTTGTAATCTCCCTTTTGATTTTTATAAATTTTCGAATTTACATTTCTGAGTTATAAGATTTTATTTGTTTATAGTCTGACAACCGATTTACTAAGTATTGCGCAACAGCACAGTGTATTGCACAACAGCAAGAAATCTTTCATATAACCAATTTCAAGTTCTTTGACTACATTTATTCAGAAACCTATAATATATCAAATATTCAGATACAATCCAAATTCAGACCTGTATCAAGCTTTAATATTGTGTCCATTTTTGCCTCAACTGTTCAGGGTTGGACCTCTGCGGGCGTATCCAGCTGCGCTCAGCGAAGCAGTTTATTTTCTTCGTTCTTGAAGATATTGATTTGATATTTGGTATATAGTTTTATCATGACAAGTTATAGTTCAAGTTCGAATTTTGTTCCGGTCTGATGATTTAGTCCAGATATATGGACCATAACTCTGGACCATATCTAATGTTAGAGTACTATGTTAAACCATATTTCTGTACAAAGGGAGATAACTCATTTTTTAAAAGACATTCTTGGTTAAATTATTTGAAGAATTTTTTGGCAGGTTTGTTTGTTATTTAGTATAAACTAATTTTCTGAATGCTATATATATAAAAAAAAATTATGAAGAGAAATCCTTTAATTAGATAATAATCTATTTTTATTAATGTATATATTTCAATACATTACATTGTGTAGATAAAATTTGTTGACATTTTATAGATAAGTTACAAATCTATATTAGTTTGTGACGAATGAAAGAAAAAATATTTGGAACCATTAATTATATTTAATTATAATTTGAAAATAGATATACACTGTATTACATCATATCTAATTTTAGAGAACAATTAATCATATCTAATGTTTTTTTCACTCATATAATCAGTTTTCCACACTGTTTTTAGTCATGCTTGAAAGATATTGACATGATATTTACTTTTTGTTTACACCATGACAAGTTATAGAACAAGTTAGCATTTTGTTCCAGTAAAATGAATTTTTACCCGGTAGGGGACTATGTATTGCCATGCAATACTCTCAAAATGCTTGTTATATAGAAAATTTCATTGTTAGTGCTCTCATGTGTACAATTCTTGCCAGATTTTTATGAAAATTATATCATAGGTTTATATCAGCAATGTCTCTGACAAGTTCAAAAGTCAGTGCCAATCAACTATTTTTAAAAGAGTTATGCCCTTGGAAATATTGATTATATGGAAAATTGCATTGTTAGCACTTTCATGTGTACAATTCTTGCCAGGTTGTTATCAAATTTATATCAAAGGTTTTTTATATCAGCAATGTCTCAGAAAATCAGTGCCTATCATATATTTTTAAAAGAGTTATGTCCCTTGGAAGTCTTAATTATATTGGAAATTGCATTGTATTTGCTCTCAAACCTCCATTTCTCTAAGATATTTGTAAAAAGTTTTAAAGAAAAAAAAAAGTTTTTTTAGTTATTGCTCTTGGATAGATAAAATATGTGCAATGCAGGGGACATTGGAATTATTTTCTTTTATTCTTATTATTGCGATACTCATCCAGTCACATAATTTGCATTAATAAAAACCTAGGAATGATATTTTGATTAACAGATTTCTCTATTAGAACAAAATGACAAAATAAATGATTTCTATCTACCTACATGACCTACATACCATATTTTTTTAAGGAGAAAACCCCAGACCTTAACCAATGTTTGTTTGACCTTATAGACAAAAAAATGTTTAACTTTTTTTCAGCTACACCAGATATGAATGCTGTTTCTACACCAAATTCAATTTCTTTGGCACAACAGCAAGCCCAATCCATAATGCAGGCACAACAGTCACCCTCAATCATGCAACAGTCTCCCATGATGCAGCAGTCTCCTACAGTGTATTGTATGGGGACAACTACCCCCACGTTACAGACACCACAGTATGCCACACAACAGTTGTCTTTAGGGTTACAGGTAGGACACTTACAATACAAACTAACACTTTAACATTACATTATAGATAGTAAATACATGTACATTAGACATCATTTGTCAATATTGATATACAACAATTGCTTGCAGTGTCTCTGTGTGTTGTTCTAAATTCCACATTACATTCCACATAACAAAAGATCAAATGTTGAAATAAAATTATTGCCAACTGGACTTCTTGCATCAGGGAAGTAAAATAGTGCCAAGGGGGAGTACATTTTATGTTCAGGATGTGGAAATGCACTGCAATGTTTAGTCAGAATGGGATGGTTAAACTATGTGAATTTGCATGAAATATTCCATGATTTTGTATTAAAATTGTACAGGGAAGCTGGAATTTCTGAATATCCAATATATTCAAGGATCACTGCAGGCTATTTAAAGGTGGTGCTCCTCTAGCCTTAAATTTTTAGCTCCACACTTGTATTTCCAGCACCACTCTAAAAAAACCTTTAAAAAACTTAAATTTTGTGATATGAGATCATTTTGGATAACAATTCTTAATCAGTATATATTTGTACTTTTTGATTTTTATACGACCGCAAAAAAATTTTGTGGTCGTATATTGGTATGACGTTGGCGTCGTCGTCGTCGTCGTCGTCCGGCGTCGTCGTCGTCGTCGTCGTCCGGCGTCGTCGTCCGAATACATATTGGTTTTCGCACTCTTAACTTTAGTTTAAGTGAATGGATCTTTTTGAAATTTGACCATAAGGTTAAATACCACAAAAGGAAGGTTGGGATTGATTTTGGGGGTTATGGTACCAACAGTTAAGGAATTAGGGGCCAAAAAGGGGCCAAAAATGAGCATTTTCTAGTTTCCAGACAATAACTGTGGAACGGTGTATGGATCTCTCTGAAATTATACTACAAGTTTCCATACCACAAAGGGATGGTTAGGATTTGCTTTGGGGGGTTATGGCTCAAACCGTTTAGGAATTAGGGGCAAAAAAGGGGGAAAAACAAGGTTGTCCTGGTTAATGGACAAATACTTTAGTACAAAACATAATTTAAAGCAGTGTAAGGGAGATAAATCAAATACATCATTGAAATTATCTCCCTTACACTGCTTTTAAATTATGTATAAAGTAATGGTTAATGAACAATAAAGATAATCTAAAACAGTGTAAGGGAGGTAATCCAAATACAACGTTTTGGTTACTTCCCTTACACTGCTTTTAAATTATGTTTAAAGAAATGCATATTTATTAAGGAAGACCAGTAAAAATATCTGCAAATGTTTTCATCTTTTTTTTTTACAAAAAAATCCATATGAAAGATTTGACACTATATTTTTATTAATTCTATTATAAAATAGATTAAGTTAGCACTATGGTAAATTTAAATGGGTAATTATGGTTGCCAACTCCATTGGAAATTTGAATTGAGATTATGACCATATCTTGAGGGAAAGAATTTTTTTGGGGGAAAAAAGGGGGGGGGGATAAAAAGAAATTGTGGGGGGCCAATTTTTTCTCATTTCAGATTTCAGAAATTAAAAAGAATTATTCTTCAAATATTATTTTTTTTTCAAATTTCAAATATTGAAAAATTTCAAGAAGTAATCTTTAATTGCACAGTATGGCGCATTAGATTTGTAAAATCATTGATCACATTTATTTATTTGTTATGCCGAATCTAACAGTGTATTTAGATTTTTAATTTTGGGTCCAGTTTTCAAATTGGTCTACATTAATGTCCAAAGGGTCCAAAATTAAACTTTGATATTAGCAAAAATTGAATATATGAGGTTCTTTGATATGCTGAATCTAAACATGTATTTAGATTTTTGATTTTTGGCCCAGTTTTCAAGTTGGTCCAAATTGGGGTCCAAAATTAAACTTTGTTTGATTTCAACAAAAATTGAATATATGGGGTTCTTTGATATGCTGAATCTAACCATGTATTTAGATTTTTTATTTGTGGACCCCGTTATCTAATTGGTTCATATTGAGGTCAAAAGGGTCCAAAATTAAACTTTGTTTGATTTCATCTAAAATTGAATTATTGGGGTTCTTTGATATTCCAAATCTAACCGTGTATTTAGGTTTTAAATTTTGGGTCCTGTTTTTTAAATTGGTCTACATTGAGGTCCAAAGGGTCCAAATTAAACTTAGTTTGATTTTAACAAAAATTGAATTCTTGGGGTTCTTTGATTTGCTGAATCTAAACATGTGTTTAGATATTTGATTATGGGCCCAGTTTTCAAGTTGGTCCAAGATAGGGTCCAGTATTTAAACTTTGTTTGATTTCAACAAAAATTGAATATATGGGGTTCTTTGATATGCTGAATCTAAACATGTATTTAGATTTTTGATTATGGGCCCAGTTTTCAAGTTGGTCCAAATTGGGGTCCAAAATTAAACTTTGTTTGATTTCAACAAAAATTGAATATATGAGGTTCTTTGATATGCTGAATCTAACCATGTATTTAGATTTTTTATTTGTAGGCCCCGCTATCAAATTGGCTCATATTGAGGTCAAAAGGGTCCAAAATTAAACTTTGTTTGATTTCATCGAAAATTGAATTATTGGGGTTCTTTGATATGCCAAATCTAACCGTGTTTTTAGATTTTTAATTTGGGTCCCGTTTTTTAAATTGGTCTTCATTGAGGTCCAAAGGGTCCAAAATTAAACTTAGTTTGATTTTAACAAAAATTGAATTCTTGGGGTTCTTTGATATGCTGAATCTAAACATGTGTTTAGATTTTTGATTATGGGCCCAGTTTTCAAGTTGGTCCAAGTTGGGGTCCAAAATTATACTTTTTTTGATTTCAACAAAAATTGAATATATGGGGTTCTTTGTTATGCTGAATCTAACCATGAATTTAGATTTTTTATTTGTGGGCCCTGCTATCAAATTGGTTCATATTGAGGTCAAAAGGGTCCAAAATTAAACTTTGTTTGATTTCATCAAAAATTGAATTATTGGGGTTCTTTGATATTCCAAATCTAAGCGTATATTTAGATTTTTAATTTTAAGTCCCGTTTTTTAAATTGGTCTACATTAAGGTCCAAAGGGTCCAAAATTAAACTTAGTTTGATTTTAGCAAAAATTGAATTCTTGGGGTTCTTTGATATGCTGAATCTAAACATGTGTTTAGATTTTTGATTATGGGCCCAGTTTTCAAGTTTGTCCAAGTTGGGGTCCAAAATTAAACTTTGTTTGATTTTAACAAAAATTGAATATATGGGGTTCTTTGATATGCTGAATCTAACCATGTATTTTGATTTTGGACATTGGACCATAATAGGTAAATTCAAAAAATTCAAGTTCTTAGACCACATTCTTTCTGTGTCAGAAACCTATGCTGTGTCAAATATTTAATAACAATCCAAATTCTGAGCTGTATCAAGCTTGAATGTTGTGTCCATACTTGCCCCAACTGTTCAGGGTTCGACCTCTGCGGTCGTATCAAGCTGCGCCCCAGCGAAGCATTTTATTTTGTCATAAAATTAAGATGAATACATTTTTATATTTGATAATATTTTTCAACTTTTAGAATCTTTTTATAGCTCCAAATCTTGAAAATTTTGGAAATGATCCCTGATGATTTAAGATTTTTCCCAAACTTTGGTGAATCATTTGTAATTCTAGAATCTTACAGCTGTACAATTACAATGTAGTAGCATATTCACTGAATCTCCAGTTATTAAATTATTTTCATGACATTTTACAGCAGCAAGCAGCATTGCAACAGCAAGGTCCACCACAAATCATTCCACAGCCAGGGATAGCTATCCCTACCACCTTAGCCACAAACCAACAGGTAGCACCGGTCAGTTACCCTAATCCTAGGCAAGTTCAGCAGGCAGCACCGCCTAAACAGCGAGTCTTTACTGGTACAGTCACCAAGCTACATGACAATTTTGGTTTTGTCGATGAAGATGTTTTCTTCCAGACAAGGTATTTAGCTGTTACTGAGAAAGTTTACTATTCTTTTTTAGATGTTTGTGGTACCTAAAAACTAAATATATGATTGAATAGAACAGAAAGGATATGATGTATTCATGACACACTTGACAATACACAAAAGCTCATTTTATTGCTGTTCTTCATTTAAAAGTAACAGTGAGGCCTTCAACAAAGAGTCAAAACTTATACACTGCAAGTTCAAGACAGTCCTAGCACCATTCCATGCTAAATATTGTTGACACTACATCGGTGGCATGAGGTTAACAGATGGGTAATTTTATTGAATTACAGACTATAGATGGCAAAGAAAGCTGACAAATTTGGTCCAGTACACTCATGATGGGTAGAATTAAGAGGTCATGAGTAAATGCTGGTGATGTCATGAATGTGGGGTCATTCACTGTGAAAAGTGTCTGTAGATTCAATAGTTATTATATGACAGGGAAATAAATCAGATTATTAGGTCTTTCCACTTTTCCGTGGAAAGACCTATTGCTTTTGTTCTGATTATTATTATTATTAGGTCTTTCCACTTTTCCGTGGTAAGACCTATTGATTTTGTTCTGATTATTATTATTATTTTTTTTTTTTTCTTCCGCCTAATTTTTTTCTTGCGTAGTATTGTTGTTTCATAAGATGTCGCTTAGATATTTGGTAGGTGATATCGAACAGTTTATAGGCTTTTGAAACTGACAACCGCTTAACCGAATACTTTACGTTGTAAGAGTTATCTCCCCAAACACTGTTTTTCTTGTGGCCACTACTCCTTCGCAACCTTAAAAGATTACGACAAATTTATTTTACCAAATTGCTCGCTATATCTTCAGGATGTTGAGTTTGGTTTTCACCGAAGCGTTCCGGAGACTCCATATGAGAGTTATTTCCCCTTACGCATTTGATATAAGTGATATGCATTTCTAACTGGTAAACCATAAGTGATAGAGACCTAGGGTCTTTTGATTTGAGGTCCTTGGTCCAAAAAAAAAAAATTTGGTCAAGGTCAAAGGTCAAGGTCATATTCTGAATTTTTATTTTGGCTTATTTTCACTCCGTATAAGATATCGACAACATATTATTACTAAATTGTTAGTTGCGACATGTCGTAACACATACATTTTGGTTTAAAGGATGCGCTAACATTAAATTAGAGTTTTCTCCCCTCTTGTATTTAGAAATACGCGTATGGTGATATAACTCATTAACCATATATAACTAAGACCTAGGGTCTTTTGATTTGAGGTCCTTGGTTTATGACCTTGAAATTGAGCTCAAGGTCATAGGTAAATTTGACGTTATAGATTTTGACCTTTGCTTTTACCTCATATGTATACATGATAAAGCCATGGGACTTTTTGCATTAGGTTGCAAGCCATTTGACCTTGAAAAATCCAACCGGAAGTGACCTTGTGTAAACGGGAAGTAGCTATTTTTTGTACTTATTTAATATAAAAGTATATAGAACCATATATTTTTGGAATCAGTGTCAAGTAAACATTCAAATTATACCGAAAGTAACATTTCTCAAACCGGAAGTAACAAATTATCTCCCTTATTTAAATTTATTTTTATAGAAACCATATATTTTTGGAATCAGCGTACAATAAGCTATCACTTGATGCTGGAAATGACATTTTAAACTGAATTTTAATATTTTTATATCAAAATAGATCTATGGGTGGAAAGACCTTCAATTGTTCTCTGAACAATTGGTTTTTAATTATTATTATTTTTTTTTTTTCTTCCGCCTAATTTTTTTCTTGCGTAGTATTGTTGTTTCATAAGATGTCGTTTATATATCTGGTATGTGATATCGAACAGTTTATACGCTTTTGAAACTGACAACCGCTTAACCGAATACTTTACGTTGTAAGAGTTATCTCCCCAAACACTGTTTTTCTTGTGGCCACTACTCCTTCGCAACCTTAAAAGATTAAGACAAATTTATTTTACCAAATTGCTCGCTATATCTTCAGGATGTTGAGTTTGGTTTTCACCGAAGTGTTCGGGAGACTCCATATGAGAGATATTTCCCCTTACGCATTTGATATAAGTGATATGCATTTCTAATTGGTAAACCATAAGTGATAGAGACCTAGGGTCTTTTGATTTGAGGTCCTTGGTCCAAAAAAAAGAAAATTTGGTCAAGGTCAAAGGTCAAGTTCATATTCTGAATTTTTATTTTGGCTTATTTTCACTCCATATAAGATATCGACAACATATTATTACTAAATTGTTAGTTGCGACATGTCGTAACACATACATTTTGGTTTAAAGGATGCGCTAACATTAAATTAGAGTTTTCTCCCCTCTTGTTTTTAAAAATACGCATATGGTGATATAACTCATTAACCATATATAACTAAGACCTAGGGTCTTTTAATTTGAGGTCCTTGGTTTATGACCTTGAAATTGAGCTCAAGGTCATAGGTAAATTTGACGTTATAGATTTTGACCTTTGCTTTTACCTCATATGTATACATGTACATGATAAAGCCATGGGACTTTTTGCATTAGGTTGCAAGCCATTTGACCTTGAAAAATCCAACCGGAAGTGACCTTGTGTAAACCGGAAGTAGCTATTTTTTGTACTTATTTAATATAAAAGTATATAGAACCATATATTTTTGGAATCAGTGTCAAGTAAACATTCAAGATATACCGGAAGTAACATTTTTTCAAACCGGAAGTAACAAATTAGCTCCCTTTTTAAAAAAAAAAATGTATAGAAACCATATATTTTTGGAATCAGTGTACAATAAGCTATCATTTGACGCTGGAAATGACATTTTAAACCGAATTTTAATATTTTTATATCAAAATAGATCTTTCTGGGTGGAAAGACCTTCAATTGTTCTCTGAACAATTGGTTTTTAATTATCCTTGTAATTTTTTGCAGTTGTGTAAAAGGCCTCATTCCAAAAGTTGGTGAGAGAGTATTAGTGGAAGCCACCTACAATCCAAACATGCCATTCAAATGGAATGCAACACGAATACAGCTCCTTCCTAATCAGGTATCATATTCAACCATTGAAAGAAATATGACATTTAAACACTGGCAACACTTCTGAAATATTATGTTTGATGCTGTAGTCATTTTTGGGGTAAAGATTGCATGAAATACAATTAAAACCCAGTGGTACTGAAGTGATATCTAAATCTTCCAAGGTTTATCACTACCTTTGATAGTTCAAACAAAATAGTGCAGTGAAGTGATCATTATTTAGATCCTATCCAGTCAATGCCATACAATTTATTAATGATATGTTATACTTAGATATTTAAGTTACAGTATATATATATATAATGTGTATTTGAATTACCAGACTTGTCAAGAAAACTATTCTTTGTTGAAAATTACATAAGTAATTCATGGTGTATGAATCTGTTATGAAAACAGACTCCACTGCAATTGTACAATCATGAACAAAGGAAGATAACTCCAACTCATATAGTTTGCCTATCTTAATTACAATTCAGTGTTTTATTTTAAATTCACAAAATTGCAAAATGAAAGCAATCTTCACCTTTCAGTGCTCACAAGCCCTTTGATTTTAAGGGGGGATTTGTTTTATTAAAGGGTGTTTGCAGCTGAAACATAAAATAATGACATTTTCACAACTGATGTCTTTTTGAACAGATAAATGAGAACACGGAAAAATTAGAAAAATAATGATAGGTCCTTGCTTGTTTTTGAGATACAGACTCTGGCCTTTGTTAGTCTTGTATCATTTTTATACGACCGCAAAAATTAAAAATTTTTTGGTCCTATATTGGTATGACGTTGGCGTTGGCGTCGTCTTCGTCGTCTGGCGTCGTCCGAAGACACATTGGTTTTCGCACTCTAACTTTAGTTTAAGTGAATGGATCTCCATGAAATTTTACCATAAGGTTCAATACCACGAAAGGAAGGTTGGGATTGATTTTGGGGGTTATGGTACCAACAGTTAAGGAATTAGGGGCCAAAAAGGGGCCAAAAATAAGCATTTTTGTAACTTCCAGACAATAACTTGTGTGTAAGTGTATGGATCTCTCTGACATTGTACCACAAGGTTCCATATCACAAATGGAAGGCTGTAATTGATTTTGGGGGTTATTGCCTCAAAATTTTAGGAATTAGGGGCCAAAAAAGGGGCAAAAAACAAGCATGTTTCTAGTTTCATGACAATAACTTGTGTGTAAGTGTTTGGATATTTCTGAAATTGTACTACAAGGTTCCATATCACAAAGGGAAAGCTGGAATTGAGTTTGGGGGTAATTGCCCGAAACGTTTAGGAATTGGGGGCCAAAAAGGGGCCAAAAATAAGCATTTTTCTAGTTTCCAGACAATAACTTGTGTTCAAGTGTATGGATCTCTCTGAAATTGTACTGCAAGGTACCATACCACAAAGGGAAGGCTGGTATTGAGTTTGGGGGTGATGAATCATAAGGGGGTTCAAAAAATTTGGGAGGGGGGATTTTTTCTTTTTCTTTTTTTTTTTTTTTTCCCTTTTTTTTTTCTTTTAAAATTTTCCATTTTAAGTTGGTTATTTCTGATTAATATTTAAAAGCAAATAATAATGATATGGTAGGAGATACACACCAAACAGGATGTGTAAATTATTATATAATAAGTATTGTGCAATAGCAAGAAATTTTCAATTGCACAGTATTGCACAATAGCAAGAAATCTTCAATTGCACAGTATTGCGCAATAGCAATAAATCTTCAATTGCACAGTATTGCGCAATAGCAAGAAATATCCAATAGCACAATATTGAGCAATAGCAAGAAATTGTCAATTGTACAGTATTGCGCAATAGCAAGAAATATTCAATTGCACAGTATTGTGCAAAAGAAGATACTTCGTATAAATTGCTTATTTCTTGATCAATTTCAATGGGGTTTTATTCTTGAATTCTTGGGGTTCTTTAATATGCTGAATCTAACCGTGTATTAAGTTTTTGGATTTTGGGCCCCATTTTTAAATTGGTCCACATTGAGGTCCAAAGGGTCCAAAATTAAACTTAGTTTGATTTTAACAAAAATTGAATTTTTAGGGTTCTTTGATATGCTGAATCTAAACATGTATTTAGATTTTTGATTATGGGCCCAGTTTTCAAGTTGGTCCAAATCGGGGTCCAAAATTAAACTTTGTTTGATTTCAACAAAAATTGAATATATGGGGTTCTTTGATATGCTGAATCTAACCATGTATTTAGATTTTTGATTTTTGGGCCCTGTTATCAACTTTGTCCACATTGAGGTCCAAAGGGTCCAAAATTTAACTTTGTTTGATTTCATCAAAAATTGAATTATTGGGGTTCTTTGATATGCCGAATCTAACCGTGTATTTAGATTCTTAATTTTTGGTTCCGTTTTCAAATTGGTCTACATTAAGGTCCAAAGGGTCCAAAATTAAACTTAGTTTGATTTTAACAAAAATTGAATTTTTAGGGTTCTTTGATATGCTGAATCTAAACATGTATTTAGATTTTTGATTATGGGCCCAGTTTTCAAGTTGGTCCAAGTTGGGGTCCAAAATTAAACTTTGTTTGATTTCATCAAAAATTGAATTCTTGGGGTTCTTTGATATGCTGAATCTAACCATGTATTTAGATTTTGGATATTGGACCATAATAGGTGAATGTCCAATTTAAAATTTTTAAGTTCTAAGACCACATTCATTCTGTGTCAGAAACCTATGCTGTGTCATATATTTAATCACAATCCAAATTCAGAGCTGTATCAAGCTTGAATGTTGTGTCCATCCTTGCCCCAACTGTTCAGGGTTCGACCTCTGCGGTCGTATCAAGCTGCGCCCTGCGGAGCATTTTATTAATTTTAGTTTCTTGTGTATAATTTGGAGTTTAGTATGACGTCCATTACCACTGAACTAGTATACATATTTGTTTAGGGGCCAGCTGAAGGACGCCTCCGGGTGCGGGAGTTTCTCGCTGCATTGAAGACCCATTGGTGGCCTTCGGCTGTTGTCTGCTCTATGGTCGGGTTGTTGTCTCTTTGACACATTCCCCATTTCCATTCTCAATTTTATTTGAGAAAAAGTTGGCAGGAAAAAGATCTCTCTGGATTTTTCATAAGAAATATATTGGAATCAATGAATGTTAAATAAATGTAAAAATTAATCTATTAGAAATAACAAGAATTTCAAAATATTTAACAAATCGTGTATTTAAGAAGTAAATTAAAAAACAATATGGAGAAATTCACTGTTCAAAAACATGTCTTTTGTTTCATATCAGCCTTTTCTATAAAACTGTTTGATATATTCAAATATCATAAAACATTCTTAACAGATTTAAAATACAACTTAACATCTATGATAGTACAGATTCCTTTTCTGCACAGTAAAAGGTTAATGTTTTCTGGACCTTTAGTATCTTAAAATCTTCAAGATCACTGTATAGGCTAAAGTGTCTGGTTAATTTATTTATCTTTTTTGTTGTGATGAATTTCAGGTTGGATCAAACCAAGGAAAACCAAGTGTAATGGGACAGCCTGTTCCTTCATCTTTAATGGGAGATAACCCAGGTAAGTTCTCAAACTAAAGAAACCAAGTATCACCCCCGGCCTGTTCAAACCAAAGACTTTAAAATTGCTGCGTCCTGCTTCTCTGCTAAGCATGCAGCATTAAGGATTAAGCACAAAGACTGGTCGTCTCAGATTCAGAATAATGTTTCCGAGTAGGCTGACATGTCTTCCTACTGACTGTTACCATGTCAACTAGCACTTTAAAAATCCAGCTCAGCATGTCGGTGTAGTACAAAGCAGGGGTAATATTCATATCACATTACTTCTTCTCATCCTGAATATGCATTTAATTTGCCACTGGAGCCATTCATCATCATCATCATCAAATTGTCAAACTAAATAAACGAATAGTTAACTTTATCTTTTAGAGGTTATAACCCTGGTAAGTTATCAAACTATTTTTTGATAGTTTTTTTGCTTTTTAAATTGTCCTGACTTTATTTCGATGCTAGTCTTAATGAAATAATTGATAATATGTGCTGTTTCAGGAAATAGGCCATTTTCTTCAAAGAAAGGAGAAAGATTCAGAGACAGAGAAAGAAAAGGATTCAGTGATATAAAGAAAGAGCCTAGAGAAAGACCAGAGAGACCTTTACCTCTAAAGAAGCGGTCTCGTTCAAGAACCCCTAAACGAGGAGATAGAAGTGGTAGTCCACGTAGACGTATGAGAGTTGTACCCAGATATGTAGTACAGATACCAAAATTATCTTTCAATTTGTAAGTGTAAAACTTATATTTGTATTTGGTTACTTTTATATGGATGGTCAAGTTTATGATTAAGCAATTTCGTCTTTAAACTTAGAATCAATCAAGCTGCTAATCAAATATTAAACTTATGAAAGGTCTTAGGTGATTTTAAAGGTGACAGTTCTTTGTAATATTAGAACAAAAAAATGAAAATTAAATTAAAACATTTAAGTACCCAAATTGTATAAAATATGTGTTTCACTCACATTTTTGTGACATTTTGATTGAGGCAATTGGTAATAAAAACAACACAAATATCAATTATTTGTTTTTGTGATTATATGTATGATATGTTTTTTTTTTATAACCCGAAAATATGTATGAAATATTTTATGATAACAAGCAAATATGTATGATATGTTTTTATGATTACAGGCAAACATGTATGCTATGTTTTCATGATTACAAGCGAATATCAATGAGATGTTTTATTAATTACAGGCAATCAGCTAATGTGGTCACATTAAAGTCTAGGTACAGCAGTATGTATGTCCCTAGTGATTTCTTCAAAGCCAATTTTACATGGATGGATGCTTTTCCATTGACAAGGCCATTCCAGTTAGGTCGTAACTGTGAATTCCACGTCCTTCACAAAGATGTAGAGTCTATAAATACTTCGGATGCCTTACTGGATCCACCAGATGCTGATCATAGTTTTAACGCTAAGGTTAGTGGATAATTATAGATTATCTAATCCAAGAATACAACTATCGAAATATATTCATGAGGTGATTATTTAATTTCTTTTGTGCTTTTTGCACACCTGCTTTTGGAATAACAGTATTTGCTTCTTATTTTCCAATATACATGTATGCTATATTAATGACAGATTTATCTGCAGCTATGATTCTCATAGATTTAAAATTGGACTTTTACCATTTTCTTAGTAATGTACATGTATAAGGTGTAATAACAATGTCTGTTCCTGTATATTACCATTTTATGCTATAGTTGAAACATATTTATCAGTACGTACACATATACTGAATCTATTTTGTTTAAAGGGCAGGATATTTGTAAATTCAAAACAATAAGTGCTTTAATTTTTTTAGGTTATGCTTCTATCCTGTCCTGAGTTAGAGGATTTATACCACAAATCGTGTTCACTGTCGGAAGATGCCGCTGATGTTCAGGAGAATTTTGTACATCCTACAAGACTTATCCATTTCTTAGTTGGTATCAAAGGCAAAAATGAAACCATGGCAATAGGGGGTGCATGGTCCCCATCACAGGATGGTTTGAAGCCAGACGAAGACCCAAAAGTACTAATTAAAACTGCTATCCGTACGACAAAAGCTTTGACTGGTATCGACTTGTCAGCTTGTACCCAGTGGTAAGAAGCTTAATAGTTATGGCTTAAGCAGAGCTCCTGTCACCCTGCAATATTAGATTTTTAGACATTTTTCTATGACAGTATTTTTTTTCTTTTCATTATAGTTAAACCAGAACCCATTCATATGTTCACAATTTCTTTCAAAGAGCAATTCTATTTTAATTTTATCAGAAGCTATTTAAAATTTGCATTTGTTGAAATCAATATTATGTGTGAAAATATAAAGCCAGAATGGAGCAATTCCAGCTGTCATAGTAATATTTATTTCACCAAATACCATCATGATAAATTCTTTGAATAGCTCTTGATACAATTTTAATTGAAATGACCAGTTGTAGGCAGTTGCTTTAAAAATATAGGCTATATGCCATAATTTGATGATATGTGTGTATGTAGTGTATGTGTGTGTGTGTATCTGTGTGTGTTTTTGTCTGTTTTCATTTAAGAAACAGGTTTCATTTCAGAAGTTGATGATAAGACCATATATTATTTCATATATTTGAAATGAGAAATTTGGTATGGTCAGTGTGTTCTTTTTATTCTCAAAATGATTTAAATCATTCAAGATCGAAAACAAAGCCTTTTCTACTCTTAAGCCATATAGATCACAATCTGATTAAAATATAGATCCTGTGTACAAGATCTAAAAATGCAGATTTCTACTTTCTGTTTTAAAGACCTTTAGGTTTAGTCAATTTAGGTTTAGTCAAATTAATGCACACCTTCAAAAATTTGCAAGATGAAATTTTATTGGCTGATGTAATAACTTCTAGAACAAAAGGAAAACAGAGTGTTGTCAGATACTTGTAAGCAAAGCTTGGACACAGGATTTGTATTTTTAACCGGATTTTCGAAGGAATATCGGTTATTAAATTGGGGATGTACGGCGGGCAGACAGGCGGCTGCCAAACAGTGTCTCCACAATAACATGAAAACGCTTTAACAAATTTTTTTCAAATTTAAATATGTTGTTTCCTGGGACTTAATGAAGGTCTAGTTCAATTTTCAAGATTTTAGTTTTTCTGCTTTTTGAGTTATCACCATTTTTAATATCCAAAATTGGTATTTTTAAATATCCTCTCTTGTTATCAATTATGACTAAGGTAAAACATATGGTAAAAGTCTTATCTCACAATTATAATTGGAGTGACAGATTTATTTGAAAATTTTCTGTTTCCTGATAAGATCTGTAGGACTGTATATACAAACAGTGATATTGTTTGCCTCTAATTACAGCAGAAATTCGGCTTTTTCCCCTAGAGAAAATTCCCAATTACTAAAAAAAAAAAAGGCTTAAAATCCCTCCCAAAAAGTTTTACATTTTCCCAAAACAGTGATGGCATTGGTAGTAATGTTTGTCAAATATCGTATTCATGTTATTATTTTGATATTAGAAAACACTTTTGAGATCCGGTTTTCTGATCAGAATCATCATGGTGTTTGTAACACGTGGTTTTCAATGCATTAAGTACCATCATTGCTTCTGTTTCTTTCCCCTCTCCGAAAAGTACCTTTCAGGCTTTTGCAAATGTCTGACAACCAAAATAAACATGAAAACAACAGTGCAAAAAGACAGCAAAGGTCAGCAAAAAATCGGTGATGTGTTTAGTATAAAATATACAAATTTCCCAATTTCCATAAAAAATATGCATTTTTCCCAATAAAAAACGGTAGAGGTAGTTTTGAAAAAGGACAACAATATCACTGATAAAGTTTGAAATTTACTAGTAGGACTGTATAAATGAAGGTTGAAATTTACTGTTCATTATTAGACACTTTGAAGATAATTACAGATAAGTTTTATAGGTTTTTAAGAGATAGGCATTTTGAAGTTAATTACATTACTAATATTTATATACCTAATGTTAGAGTACTTTGTTAAAAGGTTAAACCATAGTTCTGTTCAAGGGGAAATAACCTTTCAATTTGCAAGCATGATTCATTAGATAATAATCTATTATTTATAAGTTAAAAAGTTAAAATTAAGATAAGATAAGTTGCAGATCTATATTAGTATGTTACAGATGAAAGAAAAAATATTGGGAACTATCAACTATATATATATAAAGTTCGATTTTGATTTATACACTAAGTGATAAGTTAACACACATCTGGTAATTTTCAATGCAATCACCCAATTATAATTGGAGTGACAGATTTATTAGAAAACTTATTTATATTTGATTATAATTTAAAAATAAATATAACATCATATCTCTTTACATCATATCTAATTTTAGAGTCTATGGTTAAATCATATTTAATTTTATATTAACATGATCATGATGATTAGTTCATGGAAATAAAGTTTAAGTTATTTCCATTTAAACAGAAATGGTTTAACTAAGGAGTATTTCATCAAAAATTGAATTCTTGGGGTTCTTTGATATGCTGATTCTAGCAATGTACTTAGCATTTGGATATTGGACCATAATAGGTAAATGTTCAATTTCAAATTTTTCAGTTCTTTGACCACATTTATTTTGTGTCACAAACCCATGCTGTATTAAATATTCAATCACAATCCAAATTCAGAGCTGTTTTAAGCTTAAATGTTGTGTCCATACTTGCTCAACTGTTCAGGGTTAGACCTCTGCATGAAAATCTGGTTTGCTGTCACTCTGACAGCCTCTTGTAATCAGAATTGAATAGATCATCCAGTTTCATTCTTTTAACCTCAACAAATAAATGCATTATATTGCAGATGATAACTTACATGTATTTAGAAACATTTTTAACAGCAATGATAATATTTCTGCATTACTGCATGAACTGTCAAGGTGTTGTAAAGACTAACTTACACAACCCCTCAGTAATTAAGCCTAACCCAGATTTTTTTATACGACTGCAAAAAATTTTTGTGGTCGTATATTGGTATGACGTTGGCGTCGTCGCGTCGTCCGAAGACACATTGGTTTTCGCGCAATAACTTTAGATTAAGTGAACGGATCTCTATGAAATTTTACCATAAGGTTCAATACCACAAAAGGAAGGTTGAGATTGATTTTAGGGGTTATGGTACCAACAGTTAAGGAATTAGGGGCCAAAAATAAGCATTTTTCTAGTTTCCAGACAATAACTTGTGGAACGGTGTATGGATCTCTCTGAAATTATACCACAAGTTTCCATACCACAACGGGATGGTTAGGATTTGCTTTAAGGGGTTATGGCTCAAACCATTTAGGAATTAGGGTCAAAAAAGGGGGAAAACAAGGATGTCCTGGTTAATGGACAAATACTTTAGTACAAAACATAATTTAAAGCAGTATAAGGGAGGTAATCCAAATACAAAGTAAAAAGAAATTTTGGGAGTCAATTTTTTCTCATTTCAGATTTCAGAAATTAAAAAGAAAAATTCTTCAAATATTAATTTTTTGGCAAAAAAAAAATGTGTGTGTGTGTGTGTGTGTGTTGGGGGGGGGGGGGGGGTGGTGGTGGTGTTAATATGCAACAGCATAGTGTATTACACAAAAGCAAAAAAAAAGGGGGGGTAAATTTTTATTTTTTATTTTTTTTTTGTGGGGGGAGGGGGGTCAATTTGCAACAGCAAAGTGTGTTGCACAAAAGCAAAAAATTGAAAAAATTGAATATAAATTCAAATCATAAAACCAATTCTAAGTTCTTTGACTACAGTTATTCTGTGTCAGAAACCTTTTATGTGTCAAATATTTAATTACAATCCAAATTCAGACCTGTATCAAGTGGGAATATTGCGTCCATTTTTGCCCCAACTGTTCAGGGTTGTACTTCTGTGGTCCTATCCTGCTGTGCTCGGCAAAGCAATTTATTAAAACTTGGGGTGTTGCAGTCACCTCTGCCTTATTATCAACAAAAACCTTTAAAAATTAGTTTGACAGCATCACAATAAGTGCCTTCCTTCTTTGAGTCGTTTACTTTAGATTTTTTTGTGATTTCTTGAATCAATTGGAAGTAAATTGGTTAAAGAATTTCATGTTCAGTTTGTTAAAAGTTGTAAAATACAGTGGTTTTTAATTGTAAATGAGAAATAATTCTTGACAAAATATAACTCTATTAAAAGATTTTAAACTAAACCAGCTATTTGAAGAGTTTTTTTTTCAATATTTTCCTATTGGTAAATTCAATAGATTTTAAACCGATCAATCCATGTCAGTTCATTTATTTTTTTTTGCAATTAAGTATTTATTGTTGAGCAAAGATAGTAACCTAGTAGTTGCTGAACACTTTGAAAATTGACTAACAGGTCAAACTTGATTTCAAACTCTCTTTATAGTAGTACTGAATTTGATAATACCTAGATATAAATGCATAAAAAAATCACTAAAAATGACATAAAATTTATTGTAAATATTTTTCAGATGGGGTAAGATCAAAATAGCCATTCAGTTTGAAATATACTATGGGTTAATTATCATTTGTGGGATACAAATTATTGTTAATTTTGTGGTAATAGGTAAAGGCTTGTAAACAGACTTAAATATCCACGAAAATAGAAGTTATCTTCAATCCACGAAAATTGGGATCCCTGAAAATAAATGAATCCACAGTGCTTACTAGTTTGACTAAATAATGATTGGTAATCGTTATTATAATTCTTCTTATAGGTTGACACAACTTATGGCATTCTTTGTTGGAAACTGAAGGTTCATATCTGTTCAATCTGATTAAAATACATATCCTGTGTCCCAGCTTTGATTACAAGGATCTGAAAATACTCTGTTCTACTTTCTGTTTATAAAGACCTTTCCAGATCCTTTTGTTTTGTCGAATTAATACACACCTTCAAAATTTTGAAAGCTGAAATTTCATTGGTTGATGTAATAATTACCAGAACAGAAAGTAAATGGAGTGTTGTCAGATCCTTGTAAGGAAAGCTTCTATACAGGCTCTGTATTTTAAGCAGATTGATATCTGTTCAAACTCTTTGACCTTACCTATATTAATCATGAAGTGTATGTTTAGCAATGTGAATGAAATAAATAAGTTCTTAGTTTTTCAGCTTAATTTGCTTTTAAAGTAAAATCCTAAAATTGTATTTCACACAAAAAAAGAATATACTCATATGTATTTCATTTAATTGGAATGACTAAGTAAATATATTATGTAGTGTATACAAGTACTAAAGTTATTTGTTTCCTAACCACTCCCATACAGGTACAGATTTGCTGAGGTGCGGTACTTACGACCAGAAGAGATCCATAAAGGCAAGCACCTGCCAACCAGAGTTGAGACTACTGTCATTTTCTTCCCAGATGTATGGAGTTGTAGTCCATCCCGCCTTGAGTGGGCATCGCTACAGACAGCCTACAAAAAACAACTGCAGAAAAAGATAGCCGCCATTTCTGATGGCCCTAAAGACACAAGCTCACAGGCAGAGACTTTATCCAAATTTTTGGTTTCTTTTTATCTAGGTGTTAATTTGTTGAATGCCTTTATCTAAAGGCTATTCAAGTAAAATCAAGATTTGATCATCACAGAGACCCTGAAAAAATAAGCAGACGACAGGGTTTTGATGTAGCATTTATTTTTCATTAATCATATAGCTGCAGGTTACAGTAAACGTTATGATTAGAATTTAACAAAGAACAATTCTACCTTTAAATTTTTGGAAAAAGAGTTCATGACTTTTATGTTTTGACTGCAACAGTTTATCTTTCTGAGTAAATTTAGAATGACTGCTATATAAGTGCGCTGTATAAAAACACATAAACAGGGCAGGGGCTTTTAATTTAGAACAAATTATCATTTCCAAAATATGTATTCAACATAGACAGAAGAATATGGCATAAGAAAATAAGTCATGAACACTTTTTGCAATATTCAGTAAAGAATAATCAGTGTAAACTGTTCTTTAATAAGACAAAAGATTTTCGTCACTTTTATGAAAAAGTTTAGTTTAATCTCTAAATACATATTTATAACTGCTTAGAGATTTTATAATCTGCAATCATTTTATTTTTTTGCTTTTCTCTTTAAGCTAATTCTCATTATTCTTAAAACAGATAAAAGTATTTCTGAAAATGGAACTTCAAGAGGCACAAGTCAACATCATGTTGGCATATTCCATAAACAAACAATAAGTTATTGAACTTATCAGAAACTTTAAGTCTGTAAAAATTCTTTTCTGATTGTATTGTGTTATTTCTTAAGGAAGAAGATGAAGACACTGAAAACATTGAGGTCAGAGATCCTACCCACTTCTCACAGTTAGATCCCAAGGCTATGAAGGTTTGTTTAGTCCTACAATCTGTTCACTGCAAGACCCAATAGGGTATAAAAATATTTTATGCCTATCTAACTCATCAAGGCTCACTTTGTTACCATACTAGCAGTGGATAGATATATCTTTTACAGGGTTACCTATTTAGATAAAAAAAAAATTTGTATGATAGATATTTTGTCTTATATTTTCCTGAAAGAAAGTATAAACAGTAATTTATTCAACAGTATTTTAAATTTTAATTATCTCCCCCTGAATTGAAAAATAGTTGTACAAAAGTTATCTCCCTTATCCTTATTAATCATAATTTCATATGAATTTGTTCAAAATTCTGATGCATTTCTGAAGCATATCTTTAAAAAAAATTCGGATGTTTTATGCTATTGTATTAAAAAAAATAGTTATTAATTCTTAAAGGAGGCGGTATGATAGAGTCATTAATTTATCCCTGAAATTACTGAAACAGTTTAATTCTTCATGCCTTCCAAATGTTGTTTATTTAAATAATGTATAGATGCAATGATATAATTAAGTCTTTTAGGACAGAAGTGTTACTTGCAATGTCATTGTCATTTCATAAACATTAATATCAATTTACATTTATTTGACAAAAAATGAAAATTTTACATAAAGTATTTGGTAAAATAAAAAATTATGAACAGCATTACCCCATATAAGTGTATAGACTTACATCAACATGTTTATAAAAGATATTTTTACATCAACATCTTTATAAAGGATATATTTTGGCACTGCTGTCCCTCATACCATTATTGATGGTTCTTAAAATGAGTTTTTTGCACTGTTTAGTTAAAAGCAAAAATTTGTAAAGTTCTCTGCTATTTTAAACACATGATACCAATAATTAGACTTCTTTGGAATTTAGATTTTTCATTAATAATAAAAAACATGAAAAAAAATAGGTAAAATGAACTTTAAACTATGTATGAAACGCAGAAGAAATAACAAAAAAAAGACAACAGCCAGTAGATTGAGATGATATTTAAAATACTCAAAGGGGTTAAGATTTTGAATAAGCATTCAGAAAAACTTAGAACAAATTAGTAATTTAAAAGTACATATGAACTGTTACAGATTATAGACTTACGACGAGAATTAGAAGCAAGGACCTTGAGCTCCAAAGGATTGAAGTCACAACTGATTGCTAGACTGACAAAGTCACTGAAGATGGAACAAGAGAAAGAAGAAAGTGAAGAACAAGTGAAAGAGGTAAAAAGCTAAATATAAAAACTACAAAAAAAGATCCTGTGAAATCGTGGGTTTGTAAATTGGATTATCATGTCTATTATCAAAATGCCTTTTATCAATTGAAAAATACATGTAGTAATTTCAAATGTTGAAAGAAGTATTTAAGTGAGCTATTTTTGTCAAATTTTATTTTCATTTAATAAAGATTTGTTTTGATGGTTTTTGATTCAATTTTGTTTCGTTGTGGTGCTTTTTTGTTTGGATTTGATGTTGGCTTTTCTGATTCTAGAAGTTCATTGCCAAAATTAAAAAACTACAAGAAAAGTTTCAGAGTTGCATGTCTTAAAAGTATATTCTAAATTTAGTAGTCAAGATTTCCAGGGAGGTCAGTTTGGACAGAAATAATTCCAGAGTATGACATTGCTATTCAGTTCTGAATTTATTTTTCATTTTTTATGGTGCTGAAGACTGTTCTTGAAAACAGCACCATATGATAGAGGTCCAGACAAAATATTTGTTTTGTATAGTGTTTGTAATGCCAGATGGCAGATACTCCCACACATCCTTAATATTAGTTTTCATAGACATAAGGAACCATTATTGACTTCATAGTGTGGTGGCTATGCCAATGATCAACAGTGATTGCTTAAGTCCACAAAAACTCATATCGACCTCTATAAACAAATTCAAGTATATGTGCTATATATATATCCTAAATTTCCTCTGCAGGAAGCTTCAACTCCTATGGAAGAAGAAGTACAAAAGAATTTAGAAGAGGAAAAAACAGAAGAAAAAAAGAAAGAGGTATGCATTTAATTTAAGTTAGTGTCAGCTCATATGAGGTCCCAACCTCCCAGTCATGTTCAGTAACCATTTCTGGTAGAATTTGAATTTACATCTCATATGGCAAGCTCAATAGTCACAATTTACTTTTCTGATTTCAAATTCAAGGTATATTGTCATATATGTAATTCTTAATTTCCATTTTTGCTATAAGCATTAATCTTGCTATAGATAATTCTTTTTTTATAAATTTTATTCTTTTTAGGAAGAAGAAAAGAAGAAGAAAGAGGAGAGAGAAAAAGTATCTTTGGAAAGGAAGTATGCTCTACCAGAGAATCCTGCCATATTAGTTCATCCAAATCCTACTGCTAAATCAGGAAAATTTGATTGTGCTGTCATGTCTCTGAGTGTCTTACTGGACTACAGACCTGAGGATAACAAGGAACACTCATTTGAGGTAAGATTTTATGGTCAATGGCGTCAGTTTTTGCCTATTTTCAGTCTTTTATTTGAACAAGTATTAATGATTGATTCTTTTTTATATGACCGCCAAAAAAGTTTTGCGGTCCTATATTGGTATGACGTTGGCGTCCGAAGACACATTGGTTTTCGCACTCTAACTTTAGTTTAAGTGAATGGATCTCTATGAAATTTTACCATAAGGTTCAATACCACAAAAGGAAGGTTGGGATTGATTTTGGGGGTTATGGTACCAACAGTTAAGGAATTAGGGGCCAAAAATAAGCATTTTTGTAACTTCCAGACATAACTTGTGTGTTAGTGTATGGATCTCTCTGACATTGAACTACAAGGTTCCATATCACAAAGGGAATGCTGGGATTGATTTTGGGGGTAATTGTCTCAAAATTTAAGGAATTAGGGGCCAAAAAAAAGGGCAAAGAACAAGCATTTTTCTAGTTTCATGATAATAACTTGTGTGTAAGTGTATGGATCTTTCTGAAATTGTACTACAAGGTTCCATATCACAAAGGGAAAGCTGGAATTGAGTTTGGGGGTAATTGCCCAAAACGTTTAGGAATAAGGGGCCAAAAAGGGCCAAAAATAAGCTTTCTTCTAGTTTCCAGACAATAACTTGTGTTCAAGGGTATGGATCTCTCTGAAATTGTACTGCAAGGTACCATACCACAAAGGGAAGGCTGGGATTGATTTTGGGGGTAATTGCCTCAAAATTTTAGGAATTAGGGGCCAAAAAGGGGCAAAAAACAAGCATTTTTCTAGTTTCAGGACAATAACTTGTGTGTTAGTGGATGGATCTTTATGAAATTGTACTACAAGGTTCCATATCACAAAGGGAAAGCTGGGTTTGAGTTTGGGGGTAATTGCCCTAAACGTTTAGGAATAAGGGGCCAAAAAACAAGCATTTTTCTAGTTTCCAGACAATAACTTGTGTCAAAGTGTATGGATCTCTCTGAAATTGTACTGCAAGGTACCATACCACAAAGGGAAGGCTGGGATTGAGTTTGGGGGTGATGAATCATAAGGGGGATCAAAAAATTTGGGGGAGGGATTTTTTTTCCCTTTTTTTTCTTTAAAATTTTCCATTTTAAATTGGTTATTTCTGATTTATATATAAAAGCAAATAATAATGATATGGTTCGAATAGGTAAATTAAAATTTTTTAAGTTCTTAGACCACATTCATTCTGTGTCAGAAACCTCTGCTTTGTCAAATATTTAATCACAATCCAAATTCAGTGCTGTATCAAGCTTGAATGTTGTGTTCATACTTACCCCAACTGTTCAGGGTTCGACCTCTGTGGTCATATCAAGCTGCGCCCAGCGGAGCATTTTATTAGATATTGTGCTCTGAAAAGCCCTGGGTAAATTTGAACCAAACATGGTCTAAAGCATATTTATTTTTTAATTGTTTGGGAATATTAATTTAAACACTGCATAAATTTGGCACAACTTTTGGAATTTTCAGTTTTTAATGTTCTTCAATTTCGTATTTGATTTGGACATCAAACTGTTTGGATTTGAGAGCCATTGATTAGTCGTATGTAATAGTTGCTCTTTGAATAAAATATTCTCACTTTTGCAGTGGTAGAATCCATTCATAGTGTATACTTAAATTTGTAATAGTTGCTCATTAAATAAAATATTCTCACTTTTGCAGCGGTAGAATCCATTCATAGTGTATACTTTATATTTGAATACTAAAACCATTTTGATTGACAGGTGTCTTTGTTTGCTGAACTGTTCAATGAAATGTTGATGAGAGATTTTGGCTTTGAAATCTACAAATCTTTGGTACGAGCCCCAGAGAAGAAAGAGGAAGAGAAAAAAGACAAAGATAAGGAAAAAGATAAAGAAAAGGATAAAGACAAAGAAAAGGAAAAAGATAAAAAATCTGAGGATAAATCAAATAAAGTAAGAAATCATTGAGTCTGATGCTAAAAGTCTTTACAGTAAATGAGAAATCATTGAGTCTGATGCTAAAAGTCTTTACAGTTAAGGATGTTCGCTCCTCTTGTTTTGAATTTTTTGCCAGATTTTCGGATTCCTCTGGTTTTATTCATGTTTTGACATTAAATTTTTTTTCCACTAACCCCTAGTTTTCTTTTCAGTATTTTATTACATATAGTTATACAAGTCATATTTGAAAATCTTACAAAATCCTTGTTATTTTTTCATAGTTTTTAAAAGAGAAAAGCGGACAATGTTAAAAATATGAAAAATCTAGAGAGAATCATTTCCCGCCAAATTTTCAGTGGCTTATATCTCGAAAACGAGCACACGGACCCTTTATTTTTTCGTGCTTTTTTAGTTCCTTCATTTATATACTTTCATTTTATAACAGTCTTTTAAACGTCTTGTTATTTTGAAACAGAGTAGCGAACATCCTTAATGAGAAATCATTGAGTCTGATGCTAAAAGTCTTTACAGTAAATGAGAAGTAAGTAAGAAATCATTGAGTCTGATGCTAAAAGTCTTTACAGTTAATGAGAATTCATTGAGTCTGATGCTAAAAGTCTTTACAGTAAATGAGAAGTAAGTAAGAAATCATTGAGTCTGATACTAAAAGTCTTTACAGTTAATGAGAAGTAAGTAAGAAATCATTGAGTCTGATGCTAAAAGTCTTTACAGTAAATGAGAAGTAAGTAAGAAATCATTGAGTCTGATGCTAAAAGTCTTTACAGTTAATGAGAATTCATTGAGTCTGATGCTAAAAGTCTTTACAGTAAATGAGAAGTAAGTAAGAAATCATTGAGTCTGATGCTAAAAGTCTTTACAGTTAATGAGAATTCATTGAGTCTGATGCTAAAAGTCTTTACAGTAAATGAGAAGTAAGTAAGAAATCATTGAGTCTGATACTAAAAGTCTTTACAGTTAATGAGAAGTAAGTAAGAATTCATTGAGTCTGATACTAAAAGTCTTTACAGTTAATGAGAAGTAAGTAAGAAATCATTGAGTCTGATGCTAAAAGTCTTTACAGTAAATGAGAAATCATTGAGTCTGATGCTAAAAGTCTTTACAGTTAATGAGAAGTAAGTAAGAATTCATTGAGTCTGATACTAAAAGTCTTTACAGTTAATGAGAAGTAAGTAAGAATTCATTGAGTCTGATACTAAAAGTCTTTACAGTTAATGAGAAGTAAGTAAGAATTCATTGAGTCTGATTCTAAAAGTCTTTACAGTTAATGAGAAGTAAGTAAGAAATCATTGAGTCTGATGCTAAAAGTCTTTACAGTAAATGAGAAGTAAGTAAGAAATCATTGAGTCTGATGCTAAAAGTCTTTACAGTTAATGAGAAGTAAGTAAGAAATCATTGAGTCTGATGCTAAAAGTCTTTACAGTTAATGAGAAGTAAGTAAGAAATCATTGAGTCTGATACTAAAAGTCTTTACAGTTAATGAGAATTCATTGAGTCTGATGCTAAAAGTCTTTACAGTAAATGAGAAGTAAGTAAGAAATCATTGAGTCTGATGCTAAAAGTCTTTACAGTTAATGAGAATTCATTGAGTCTGATGCTAAAAGTCTTTACAGTAAATGAGAAGTAAGTAAGAAATCATTGAGTCTGATACTAAAAGTCTTTACAGTTAATGAGAAGTAAGTAAGAATTCATTGAGTCTGATACTAAAAATCTTTACAGTTAATGAGAAGTAAGTAAGAAATCATTGAGTCTGATGCTAAAAGTCTTTACAGTAAATGAGAAATCATTGAGTCTGATGCTAAAAGTCTTTACAGTTAATGAGAAGTAAGTAAGAATTCATTGAGTCTGATACTAAAAGTCTTTACAGTTAATGAGAAGTAAGTAAGAATTCATTGAGTCTGATACTAAAAGTCTTTACAGTTAATGAGAAGTAAGTAAGAATTCATTGAGTCTGATTCTAAAAGTCTTTACAGTTAATGAGAAGTAAGTAAGAAATCATTGAGTCTGATGCTAAAAGTCTTTACAGTAAATGAGAAGTAAGTAAGAAATCATTGAGTCTGATGCTAAAAGTCTTTACAGTAAATGAGAAATCATTGAGTCTGATGCTAAAAGTCTTTACAGTAAATGAGAAATCATTGAGTCTGATGCTAAAAGTCTTTACAGTAAATGAGAAATCATTGAGTCTGATGCTAAAAGTCTTTACAGTTAATGAGAAATCATTGAGTCTGATGCTAAAAGTCTTTACAGTTAATGAGAATTCATTGAGTCTGATGCTAAAAGTCTTTACAGTTAATGAGAAGTAAGTAAGAAATCATTGAGTCTGATGCTAAAAGTCTTTACAGTTAATGAGAAATCATTGAGTCTGATGCTAAAAGTCTTTACAGTAAATGAGAAATCATTGAGTCTGATGCTAAAAGTCTTTACAGTTAATGAGAAGTAAGTAAGAAATCATTGAGTCTGATGCTAAAAGTCTTTACAGTAAATGAGAAATCATTGAGTCTGATGCTAAAAGTCTTTACAGTTAATGAGAAGTAAGTAAGAATTCATTGAGTCTGATACTAAAAGTCTTTACAGTTAATGAGAAGTAAGTAAGAATTCATTGAGTCTGATACTAAAAGTCTTTACAGTTAATGAGAAGTAAGTAAGAATTCATTGAGTCTGATTCTAAAAGTCTTTACAGTTAATGAGAAGTAAGTAAGAAATCATTGAGTCTGATGCTAAAAGTCTTTACAGTAAATGAGAAGTAAGTAAGAAATCATTGAGTCTGATGCTAAAAGTCTTTACAGTAAATGAGAAATCATTGAGTCTGATGCTAAAAGTCTTTACAGTAAATGAGAAATCATTGAGTCTGATGCTAAAAGTCTTTACAGTAAATGAGAAATCATTGAGTCTGATGCTAAAAGTCTTTACAGTTAATGAGAAATCATTGAGTCTGATGCTAAAAGTCTTTACAGTTAATGAGAATTCATTGAGTCTGATGCTAAAAGTCTTTACAGTTAATGAGAAGTAAGTAAGAAATCATTGAGTCTGATGCTAAAAGTCTTTACAGTTAATGAGAAATCATTGAGTCTGATGCTAAAAGTCTTTACAGTAAATGAGAAATCATTGAGTCTGATGCTAAAAGTCTTTACAGTTAATGAGAAGTAAGTAAGAATTCATTGAGTCTGATACTAAAAGTCTTTACAGTTAATGAGAAGTAAGTAAGAATTCATTGAGTCTGATACTAAAAGTCTTTACAGTTAATGAGAAGTAAGTAAGAATTCATTGAGTCTGATTCTAAAAGTCTTTACAGTTAATGAGAAGTAAGTAAGAAATCATTGAGTCTGATGCTAAAAGTCTTTACAGTAAATGAGAAGTAACTAAGAAATCATTGAGTCTGATGCTAAAAGTCTTTACAGTTAATGAGAAATCATTGAGTCTGATGCTAAAAGTCTTTACAGTAAATGAGAAGTAAGTAAGAATTCATTGAGTCTGATGCTAAAAGTCTTTACAGTTAATGAGAAGTAAGTAAGAAATCATTGAGTCTGATGCTAAAAGTCTTTACAGTAAATGAGAAATCATTGAGTCTGATGCTAAAAGTCTTTACAGTTAATGAGAAGTAAGTAAGAATTCATTGAGTCTGATGCTAAAAGTCTTTACAGTTAATGAGAAGTAAGTAAGAATTCATTGAGTCTGATGCTAAAAGTCTTTACAGTTAATGAGAAGTAAGTAAGAATTCATTGAGTCTGATACTAAAAGTCTTTACAGTTAATGAGAAGTAAGTAAGAAATCATTGAGTCTGATGCTAAAAGTCTTTACAGTTAATGAGAAGTAAGTAAGAATTCATTGAGTCTGATGCTAAAAGTCTTTACAGTTAATGAGAAGTAAGTAAGAATTCATTGAGTCTGATGCTAAAAGTCTTTACAGTTAATGAGAAGTAAGTAAGAATTCATTGAGTCTGATGCTAAAAGTCTTTACAGTTAATGAGAAGTAAGTAAGAATTCATTGAGTCTGATGCTAAAAGTCTTTACAGTTAATGACAAGTAAGTAAGAATTCATTGAGTCTGATGCTAAATGTCTTTACAGTTAATGAGAAGTAAGTAAGAAATCATTGAGTCTGATGCTAAAAGTCTTTACAGTTAATGAGAAATCATTGAGTCTGATGCTAAATGTCTTTACAGTTAATGAGAAGTAAGTAAGAATTCATTGAGTCTGATGGTAAAAGTCTTTACAGTTAATGAGAAATCATTGAGTCTGATGCTAAAAGTCTTTACAGTTAATGAGAAGTAAGTAAGAATTCATTGAGTCTGATGCTAAAAGTCTTTACAGTAAATGAGAAATCATTGAGTCTGATGGTAAAAGTCTTTACAGTTAATGAGAAGTAAGTAAGAATTCATTGAGTCTGATGCTAAAAGTCTTTACAGTTAATGACAAGTAAGTAAGAATTCATTGAGTCTGATGGTAAAAGTCTTTACAGTTAATGAGAAGTAAGTAAGAAATCATTGAGTCTGATGCTAAAAGTCTTTACAGTTAATGAGAAGTAAGTAAGAATTCATTGAGTCTGATGCTAAAAGTCTTTACAGTTAATGAGAAGTAAGTTAGAATTCATTGAGTCTGATGGTAAAAGTCTTTACAGTTAATGAGAAGTAAGTAAGAAATCATTGAGTCTGATGCTAAAAGTCTTTACAGTTAATGAGAAGTAAGTAAGAATTCATTGAGTCTGATGCTAAATGTCTTTACAGTTAATGAGAAGTAAGTAAGAAATCATTGAGTCTGATGCTAAAAGTCTTTACAGTTAATGACAAGTAAGTAAGAATTCATTGAGTCTGATGGTAAAAGTCTTTACAGTTAATGAGAAATCATTGAGTCTGATGCTAAAAGTCTTTACAGTTAATGAGAAATCATTGAGTCTGATGCTAAATGTCTTTACAGTTAATGAGAAGTAAGTAAGAATTCATTGAGTCTGATGGTAAAAGTCTTTACAGTTAATGAGAAATCATTGAGTCTGATGCTAAAAG